CCAGATAATGTAATTCAGTTTTCTGTCTTGCTCCTGCAAACCAATCCTAACCTTGTGCCCTAAGGTCTGGAAAATTGATGTCCATCCACCCATCCATCCATCCACCCATCCATCCAACCATCCATCCATCCACCCAGCCATTCAACAGCATTATGGTCTTAGTCACTGGGGCTCCAATTATGTTCTTTGTAAACTAACTTCAAAACCTTCCTAACACCCAAATTTCCTCAATTTCCTAGCACCTCAATTTCCTTCCTTTTGTGAGTTCTCCTAAGGAATGAATTATAAGGCTCACTTCTGGCAGACTGACAAAATTAAAGTAGATCATATTCAAATTCTTTTGGAGTACAACACTCAATTTACGAGGTTTTTTTTTTTTTTTTTTTTTTTGGAATGGGAGTCTCACCTTGTCACCCAGGCTGGGATGGAGTGCAGTGGTGCAATCTTGGCAAACTGCAACCTCCATCTCCTGAGTTTAAGCAATTATCTTGCCTCAGTCTCCCGAGTAGCTGGGACTACACGAGCCCGCCACAACACACAGCTAATTTTTGTATTTTGGGTACAGATAGTTTCACCATGTTGGCCAGACTGGTCTCAAACTCCTTATTGCAGGTGATCCGCCCAACTCGGCCTCCCAAAGTGCTGGGTTCACAGGCATGAGCCACCATGCCCAGCCAATTTATGAAATTTTTGTCATAAGAAGACAACTGCCTAGACTAAATGGTAGTAGAGGGAATGGGAAGAAAAGAATAAATGTGGGATGAGTGACAAACAAGATCAACAGAACTTTTTTTTTTTTTTTTTTTTTTGAGACAGAGTCTCACTCTGTCACCCAGGCTGGAGTGTAGTGGCATGATCTCAGCTCACTGCAACCTCTGCCTCAAGGGTTCAAGCGATTTTCCTGCCTCAGCCTCCTGAGTAGCTGGGATTACAGGTGCCCGCCACCATGCCCAGCTAATTTTGATCAATAGAATTTGATGTGTCTTGGGACTGAGGAAGTCAGAAGGAGTTAAAGATTAGGGTAATATTTCGAGCCCAAATTACTGAGGAATAATACTTTTCTTCATAACAATGGGGAAATTGACAAAGGAAGCTATGTTTTAGGTTACAGTGGGATATTTAAATGTAAATTATGGAGGGAGATAACTAACTGAACTAAATTTAGGAAAGAGAGCACAACTCTAAATTCAGACTTGCAAGTCAGTCTTATCGAAGTGAAGTAGAACAACTGAGTTCTGGGGAGAAAGTATAAATGCAGGAAAGGACTCTATTGACTGATAAATGTGTGTTTCATAATCTGCACATAAATGATGAGACTAAAAAGGTAATCTGCTATGCTGTTTGGGAAGACAGTCAATTAGACATCCAGGATTTCTTGTTATTATATATATCACTCTGTATTCAAGATACAGATGCATCCCTTTTGAACCCTGAGGACTACCTCATAGGGTTGTAAAGGTGTACAAATGGTGCAATGCATAACCTGTATAGTTATCTAGCAGTCCTGCCTCAGTGGTTGACTGTGCTAAATGGCGAGATCTTTAAAATCAATGAAGAATGTCTTTCTCACCTCAAGAATCCTCCATGCATAGAGAATGGAACAGAATATGCCCTCAGCTTATAGAGAGTGGAACAGAACATGCCCTCAGAATATGCTTGCTGAATGAGCTCCCAGAAGGGCATTGTTTCAAGGTTCTCTTGACTGTCTTCATTTGGAAGTAGCAAAGGCTTCATAAGATACATCAGAGCAAAGCCTGATGCTGCTCTGTTCATAATTTTACAGCAATCATTTGTACTTCCAGAGGCTACCCTGGTTAGAAATCATGAAGTGGGTTCCTCCCACAATACTGAGGACACATAGTTTGGGGAGATGATCCACGGTAGCATTTTCATTATGGTCAAGTGTGATGACATCCTCCTAGCACATCCATTCTGACAACAGCAGAATCATTAGCTTCGATTCATTAGAAGGGGATTTTGATGAATAAACCTTTAGCTACACTTCTGAGAAGGCTCCAGAGTTATGAGGCAAAAAAATTAATTCCAACTACTTAAGCAGAGACACTGGGCAATTTCACAGTTATTAGTATAACTCAGATATAACATTTTAATAGGAGGCATCCTCAGTGATGAAGATATTTTCTAGATGAAGATATTACCGATGAAGATATTACCAGAAGAGGGGTGCTATGAATACCAGAGAAAACTGCCTTCTGTTATAGTTTAGTCTGTATTTTTTATGTATTTGTATTAGTGTGTTCTAGCAAATAGGAGGTAATTCTTATGGAATTCCCATCTATAATAATGTTCCAGGAATAGCTTTGTGTCTATCTGGTGTTACTAGTCCAAAGATTAAAAACGCTGGATATAATTTTCTCCGAAAAAAGTAAAAAAACCTATTAACATAAAAGGATGTAGCTAGTAGAGCCACTCCGGGCCATTGACTATCTGCATGTCAGTATGTCATTTACTTGGTTATCTTTGCAGAATATACTATTTATCTCCAAGTTTTGGAAAATTAATTCTGATTTTTCAATATCTAGTTCAAATTATCTCTCCTTCATGAAACCTTCCCTAAAACTTCTCCTCATTGAATATTCCCTTCCTCTATCTTTCCATACCATTTTGTTTGTATTCTTTTCTAGTACATATGCATTCTACCTTATACTTGATTTTTTTGTAGATTGTCTTAGCCCATTTGTGTTTTTACAAAGGAATACCTGAGGCTGGGCAATTTATTTAAAAAACAGGTTTATTTGGCTCATGGTTCTGCAGGCTCTACTAAATGCACGGTGCCAGTATCTGCTTCTAATAAGGACCTCAGGAAGCTTCTAATCATGGGGGATGGTGAAGGAGCAGCAGCTATGTCACAAGGCGAGAGAGAGGGCGAGAGAGAGGGCGAGAGAGAGAGAGTGGGGAAGGGTTCCAGGCTCTTCTAAACAGCTATCACATGAACTAATAGAGTGAGAATTCAGTCATTACCTCTGGCACCAAGCCATTCATGAGGGATCTGCTCCTACGACCCAAACACCTCCCATTAGGCCCGTCTTCCAACCACTGGGGATCAAATTTCAACACGAGATTTGGAGGGGACAAATATTCAAACTATAGCATAAATACAGCTCATCTACTCCATTAGAGTTAATTTTGCTTACCTTTGTATTCCCCACAGTATTTAGTCCAGAGCATGGACCAGATGATAATTATAATAGTTAATATTCATTGGGCACTGTTTTGGTGCCAGGCACTGAACTAAGTAAGAAGTTTGTGGGCATCAGTTCATTTCATTCTCATAGGAATGTGGTAGTTTAGGTATCATTATTATTCCCATTTTTCAGATGAGGAAACTCAGAATTAAAGAGATGTCACAGAGCTAATAAATAAATGAGCAGGGACTAGAATCAATATAGGCCCAACTCCAAGAACTATTCTCTACTCTTTATTCAATATACTTAGAGAATTGAAGTGTAATAAGAACTCTGTTGTCATTGAAAGTTATAAGTGGAAATATAAAGACTTTTTTTCTGGAGTGCTAAAGCTTTTTGCATTACCAATCAAATCAATATTTTAAGAATGGAATGCAATAGTTATGGTACAGAAAAGACATGAAAGGATTCCCCTGGATCAGCTAAAATATATCCTATGAGGTCTTCACTAAATATAAGAATATAACAAGATAGATCTACTAAGAGGAAAGAAAAGCTATCATTCTTTACAAATAGATAGGAAACTTCCCAAATAAAAGCAATACAGATGGCAGAATAATAAAAACTGGAATGAAAAATTGGATATGCTATGCCCTTATTGAGTGACAAATGTTCTGTGATATATACTATGTTAAGAAATACTAAGAAATATGAAAATAAATTTAAAAAATGGGAAGTGAGAACAAGTAAGCTTCTTCTGCATTAGAAACATTTAAAAGGAGACCATAAAAGTGCCAGAAAAGATAACATTTTATTGTAGGAGATAATGAAAAATGATTTGGGAAATGAAGGAAAACAGGATTTAGTACCCTTTTTGAAGTCAAAGATCTGAAACTCAGTTAAATTACAAAGAAAATAAAACATTTAAGGAACTGCAGGAATTGCAAGGAATTGTCACCATTAAAGGTTGGCAAAAAGTCTGGCTCAAAATAAAATTTAGAATTTTTTGAAAGCCTGTTTTTGAACTTTTTTCAGACAATAATAATGCATGCCTCTTGTGAAAATGTTTTCCTATAATTTAAACCATGAGTGTTCTCATAATACCACTATAAGAAATTTCTACTATTTCTTGGCCGGGCACGGTGGCTCATGCCTTAATCCCAGCACTTTGGGAGGCCGACGCGGGTGGATCATGAGGTCAGGAGATCAAGACCATCCTGGTTAACACGGTGAAACCCCGTCTCCACTAAAAATACAAAAAATTAGCCGGACGTGGTGGCGGGCGCCTATAGACCCAGCTACTTGGGAGGCTGAGGCGGAAGAATGGCATGAACCCAGGAGGCGGCGCTTGCAGTGAGCCAAGATCGCGCCACTGCACTCCAGCCTGGGAAACAGTGCAAGACTCCGTCTCAAAAAAAAAAAAAGAAACTTCTACTATTTCTTTAAATCTTTGCAACGTATATGATACATATGTATAACTGTGGTTATTTTTAAAATTATTTATTTATAAAAACGGTTTCTACTATACATATCCTTCTGCAGCTAGCTTTTTTTCAGTTAACAGTATGCCCTGGACATCTTTCCATGACAGTACATACAGATTAATTAAATGTTTTAAAGTGGCTAAAAAGTATTCTACTGTATGAAAAATAGATTATATTTAACAACTAATGATTAATTTACCTGTATTTTGCCATTATAAACAATGATGAATGAATATCCCCTGTGTGTGTGTGTGTATATATAAATATATATGTATTAGTTTGAGTGTTTTATAAGGTACATTTCTAGTTGCAGAATCTAGAGTTAAAGAACATGTAAATTTTTACTGCTTTTTTTCTACCTTTTTGTTCAGTTTAAAAATCTTAATACTATCTGAAGCACAAAAGAGCACATATTAGAAGAAAAAGAGGAAATAAGGAAACACACATATATGAAACATATGAAGGGTAAACCAGAAATCAATATAGTTGATTGTCATCAAAAGCAGGGAAAATAAGACAGAAAGGACATGGGAGTGACTGAAATTTGTCTAAACCTACTTTTCCATGTAGTTTCAACTTTTGAAAAAGTTAAATCAATAAGGATGGGAAGGAGGGGAAATTAAACTGAAACATATAAAAACAACTGTATTTTAAATACACCAGCACCTTGGGAGGCTGAGGCAGGCAGATCACTTGAGGCCAGGAGTTAGAGACCAGCTGGGCAACATGGCAAAACCCCATCTCCATTAAAAATACAAAAAAAAACAAAAAACAAAAAACAAAAACAAAAACAGCCAGGTGCAATGGCTCAGGCCTTTAACCCCAGCTACTTTGGGAGGCTTAGGCTCGAGAATTGCTTGAACCCAGGAGACGGAGGTAGCAGTGAGCCGAAATCGCACCACTTCACTCCAGACTGGGAGACAGAGTGAGATCCTGTCTCAAAAAAAAAAAAAGTATTCGTAACTCATGGAGTTTTAACATGTTTGTTTCCATTGAAGTAACTGTCCTTTTGCTACTCAAATTGTCCATCTTTGGAAGCTCCTTTAACAAGGCTTCTGTGGCCCTTTGACATGACTCCAGTATGCTTTGTTAGACACCTTGCCATCCAGCACGACCAGATGAGCCAGACTCATTTCGTATATTACTTGTCCCAATTTCTAAGCTGCCACTTCTCTAAGGAGTTCTGGTTCCTTTTAGTGGTATTGAGAGACACAATCTGGGTGATGAAGGTGATCCTTCATGGGGTTAGTCATTACTTTTAGGCTTTTTCAGTAGACAGTGCTATGAAATTCAGAAATATAAATTTTTAGCAGACAAGTATACCACCAGTTTATATTTGTATACTTCTTATACTGAAAATCTTAGTTACTAATGAAATTGACATATTCACTTGCTTCATCTTACCTTTACATAGTGATCCATTTATTTGTGTTGTGTCAAAATAACAGTAACAGTATTAATACTAACAGTATGTTCACTGAATACAGTTTAGGATTTCTTTGTAGCTCTCTTTGTCCTTAGGATGTATCCTACTATGACTGCAGAGTCAAAATTACTATGCTTTAAAGTCAGTTGGGCTGGGCACAGTAGCTGACGCCTATAATCCCAGCACTTTGGGAGGTCAAGGTAGGAGGATCACTTGAGGTCAGGAGTTTGAGATCAGCCTGGCCAACATGGTAAAACCCCATCTCTACTAAAAATACAAAAAATTAGCCGGGTGCGGTGGTGCGTGCCTGTAATTCCAGCTACTCGGGAGGTACAGGCAGGAAAATCACTTGATCCTGGGAGGTGGAGGTTGTGGTGGGCCAAGATTGCACCACGGCACTCCAGTCTGGGTGACAGAGCGAGACTCCATCTCAAAATATAAAAAATAAAAATAAAAAATAATAAAGTCACTTGAAAAATTCACTCTGCAGTTAAGCTACCAACTTAATACACAGGTGTCTTTGTTTAATTTGTCTATCAATCTTTAAGGACTGCTCATTGTAGACACTTAAATTTTTTTTTTTTTTTTTTGAGATAGAGTCTCACTCTGTCACCCAGGCTGGAGTGCAATGGCACTATCTCGGCTCTCTGTAACCTCCGCCTCCCAGGTTCAAGCGATTTTCATGCCTCAGCCTCCTGAGTAGCTAGGATTACAGGCGTGTGCCACCAGGCCTGGTTGCTAATTTTTGTATTTTTAGTAGAGATGGGGTTTTACCTTGTTGGCCAGGCTGGTCTTGAACTCTTACCTCAAGTGATCCACCCACCTTGACCTCCCAAAGTGCTGGGATTACAGGCATGAGCCACTGCGCCCAGCCTATAGACACTTAAATTTTTTATAATTATGGAAATAATTTATGAAGTTTCAAAATCAAAACTATAGAACAAGATATACTCAGATAAGACTAGCTTCCATCCCTGTCTCCTCTACATTATCTCCTTCTCCCTTTATGTAAGAGTCTTTATTCATTTTTCATTTACTCTTCTATATTTAAAAAATATAAGAAAATATTTTTCTCCTCTTTCCCAAAAAAAAGGTTACACATACTCTTTAGCACTTTACTTTTTTCTCTTAACAATAAACCTGGCGGCCACTTCATAGCTATATATAAAATAGAGAATATCATACACAATATTCTGCGCTTGCTTTTTTTATTCCAGATCATTTTATAACATTATATAAAAATATTTATCATTACTTCCTACAGATGCATAGCATTCCATTGTGTGAATATACTCTTGTTTATGTAGCCAGCCCTCTAAAAGTACATTTGCAGGCAGGGCACGGTGGTCACACCTGTAATCCCAGCACTTTGGGAGGCTGAAGAGAGCAGATGGCTTGAGCCCAAGTTTGAGACTAGCCTAGGCAACTTGGTGAAACCCCATCTCTACCAAAAAAAAAAAAAAAA